AATAATGCAGTTAGAAACTGTCTTGTTATGACTTGTCCTTCTCATAAAGATGGTAACATACCAGTCCCCGTGCACCTAGGTGATATCTGGTGATCGAAAGCCAGTTCAAAATGGCATTCAAAGCAATAGCACCTACACTGACCAGAAAAGGTCCCTTCCCATCACCAAGGGCATAAAATGTTGAGTAGTAAACTTGATTTTTGGACTAAATCATATGGGCTTAAGGATTTTGCTTGTAGGCCCAAATCAATTAAAAGGACTAAATCATATGGGCTTAAGGATTTTGCTTGTAGGCCCAAATCAATTAAAAGGCCCAACATGCATAGCATTTCTAGAAGAGCATTATCTAGAAAAATCTATATAAATATCTACTAGAAAAATCTATATAAATATCTAAGTAAGATATGTGGTTTTATAAAGAATATCTAGAGAATTCTAGGAAAATATCTTGATATATGGTCTAGGTGTCTTTAGAAAATGTGTGGACTAGAATCTTCTTGTAAACACTATATAAAGGGATAGTGCCCTCCATTTTGAAACAAGCCAAAAAGTGTGTAGAGTCTTGAATTTGAGAAATACAAGTTTCCTATTTTTTCACTTCCTTCTTCCTATTAGTGTTGTCCTCTTAAAAGTCTTAGCTAATCCAAGTTAGTAAACCCATCTTTCCTCCAACAAACTGATATCAGAGCCCCAAGGTTCTTGTGAAAAATGGCAAGTGGGATGATTCCTTTTCAAGTCCCCCAACTCAACTAGGATAACTACGACAATTGGAGTATAAGGATGAAAGCAATGCTCGGGTCGCAAGATACATGGGAGATCGTAGAGAAAGGCTACACGGAGCCACAAGACGAGGTTGCTCTATCCCAAACACAAAGGAATAGTTTGAAGGATGCAAGGAAGAAGGACAAGAAGGCGCTCACCCTCATCTATCAAGCCTTAGATGAAGGCATGTTCGAGAAAGTAGCTTGTGCTACTACAAGTAAGGAAGCATGGGAGATCTTGCAAAACTCCCACAAAGGAGTTGAGAAGGTGAAAAAGGTTCGACTTCAAACACTTCGAGGTGAGTTTGAAGCTTTACATATGAAAGAATCGGAATCAATTTCTGATTACTTCTCTAGAGTATTAGCTATTGTGAATCAATTAAAAAGGAATGGAGAAAAGTTGAACGACAATCGAGTAATTGAGAAGATACTTAGGTCTTTAGATTCTAAATTTGACTACATAGTTGTAGCCATTGAGGAATCTAAAGATCTAGATAGTATGAGTGTCGATCAACTCATGGGATCTTTACAAGCCCATGAGGAAAGACTAAGGAAGAAAGTGAAAGAAGAGCCTTTAGAGCAAGCTCTTCAAACAAAGCTCACTTTGAACGAGGGTGAAGGAAGGTTCAATAGTAAAAGAAGCCAAAGAGGAAGAGGACGAGGCCAAGATCAAGGAAGAATTGCATTCTACAAGGAGGAAAGAAGACAAAGTTCGTTTTCTACTAGAGGTCGCGGAAGAGGAAAATGTACGAGGAAAAATGAAGGACCAAGGTATGACAAATCTCAAATTAAATGTTACAATTGTCAAAAACTTGGTCATTATGCTTCAGAATGTAGAAATATTACTAACCAAGTTGAGGAGAAAGCCAACTACACTGGTCGCTTGATCCGCTTAAAAAATGGTACGCATCAGTTTATCTCGAATGTCTATTATGTGCCCAATATGAAGAATAACATTTTAAGTTTGGGACAACTCTTAAAGAAGGGCTATGATATTCATTTGAAGGATCATAGTCTTTCAATAAGAGATCAAAGAGAAAATTTGATTGCCAAAGTCCCTATGACAAGAAATAGAATGTTTGCGTTAAGCATTCAAAATGATGTCGCTAAATGCTTAAAAGCTTGTTTTAAAGATTCATCTTGGCTTTGGCACTTGAGATTTGGGCATCTTAATTTTGGAGGCTTAAAGTTGTTGAGTAAGAAGAAAATGGTGAAAGGTTTGCCTTCAATAAATCATGCGGATCAATTATGTGAAGGATGCTTACTTGGAAAGCATTCGAGAAAAAGTTTTCCAAAAGAAGCATCTACAAGAGCTAAGAAGCCGCTAGAACTTGTACACTCCGATGTTTGTGGGCCAATTAATCTAAGCTCTCTCGGTAAGAGCAATTATTTTGTTCTTTTTATTGATGATTTTAGTAGAAAGACTTGGGTCTATTTTCTTAAACAAAAATTGGAAGTTTTTGAAACTTTTAAGAAGTTTAAAGCTCTTGTTGAAAAAGAAAGCGGATATAGCATAAAAGCCTTGAAATCGGATAGAGGAGGAGAGTTCACCTCCAAAAAGTTTGAGAAATATTGTGAGGAGAATGGAATTCGTCGTCTATTGACAGTTCCATACTCTCCACAACAAAATGGAGTAGCCGAAAGAAAGAATAGATCCATTCTTAACATGGCCCGCTGCATGCTCAAAAGTAAGAGATTGCCTAAACAACTTTGGGCTGAAGCTGTTAATTGCGCCGTGTATCTGTCTAACCGATCACCTTCTAGAAGTGTGTGGAATAAGACACCACAAGAAGCATGGAGTGGAAGAAAGCCCAGCATCTCTCACTTACGAGTATTTGGGAGCATTGCATATGCTCATGTACCAAATCAAAAACGGTCCAAGTTAGATGACAAAAGTGAAAGGTATGTCTTCATCGGCTATGACTCTTGCTCTAAAGGCTACAAGTTGTAATCCAAGCAATGAGAAGATCACCATAAGTAGAGATGTCGAGTTTGATGAAGAAGGAGCTTGGGATTGGGGTGTCCAAGAAGAAGACTATGACTTCTTACCATTCTTTTATGAAGAAGAACAAAAGAATGGAGAGCAGCAAGAGATTATCAGTCCACCTCTATCACCTACTCATGGAAATGCTTCTCCATCATCTTCACAAGGAGAAAGTTCAAGCGAAAGGACACCACGGATGAGGAGCCTACAAGAGCTATATGAGGTAACCGAAAATCAAAATGATCTCACACTTTTTTGTCTTTTTGTCGATTGTGAACCAATAGGGTATGAAGAAGCGGTGCAAAATAAAAGATGGAGAGATGCTATGGATGAAGAGATTAAGGCTATAGAGAAAAATTACACGTGGGAGCTGACAACTCTTCCCAAAGGAAAGAGAGCAATCGGAGTTAAGTGGGTATACAAGGCAAAGAAAAACGCTAAAGGAGACGTAGAAAGATACAAAGCAAGATTGGCTGCCAAAGGTTACAACCAACGGTCGGGAATTGATTATGAAGAGGTATTTGCTCCTGTTGCTCGTTTAGAAACCATAAGATTAATTATCTCTCTTGCAGCGCAAAATAAGTGGAAGATATTTCAAATGGACGTGAAATCAACTTTTCTAAATGGTTATCTCGAAGAAGAAATCTATGTGGAGCAATCAATGGGCTATAAAGTAAAAGGACATGAAGGTAAAGTCTTGAAACTAAAAAAGGCTTTATATGGGTTGAAACAGGCTCCAAGGGCATGGAATAGTAGAATTGACAAGTATTTTCTAGAAAATAACTTCACAAAATGCCCTCACGAGTATGCCCTTTATACAAAGGTAAATGAGAAAGGAGATATTTTGCTTGTTTGTTTGTACGTAGATGATCTTATATTTACAGGAAATAATCAAAGTATGATCACTGAGTTTAAGAAGGTCATGGCTCAAGAATTTGAGATGACGGATATCGGCCACATGGCCTACTATCTTGGCATAGAGGTAAAGCAAATGGAGGACTGCATTTTCATCTCACAAGAAGGATATGCGAAAGAAATTCTAAAGAAATTCAATATGGAGGACTGTAAGCCTGTATGCACCCCCGTCGAATGCGGAATCAAGTTGTCGAAAAATGATGAAGGTGAAAAAGTAAATCCAACACTTTTTAAGAGTCTTGTTGGAAGTCTAAGATATTTGACGTGCACAAGACCAGATATCCTTTTTGGAGTTGGGCTCATTAGTCGCTATATGGAGACACCTACCATGACCCATATGAAAACTGCAAAGAGAATTCTTCGCTACATCAAAGGTACACTTGATTATGGCTTAGTCTATTCATCATCTAATGAGTTTAAACTTGTTGGATATAGTGACAGCGATTGGGGCGGAGATAGTGATGATAGAAAGAGTACGACTGGGTACGTGTTTTACTTGGGCGACACAGCTTTCACTTGGAGCTCAAAGAAGCAATCGATCGTAGCATTATCTACATGTGAAGCTGAATATGTTGCAGCTACATCAAGTGTCTGCCATGCGATTTGGCTTAGAAACTTGTTGAAGACGCTTGGAGTATCACAAGAAGAGCCAATCGAAATCCATGTTGATAACAAATCGGCATTGGCATTGGCAAAGAACCCAGTATTCCCTGATAGAAGCAAGCACATTGATACAAGATATCACTTCATAAGAGAAAGCATTGCAAAGAAAGAAGTGCAGCTGAAATATGTAACCTCCCAGGAGCAGATCGCCGACATTCTCACTAAGCCACTCAAGCATGATGTGTTCCGCAAGTTAAGAACTTTACTTGGAGTAGCAAAATCAAGTTTAAGGGGGGATGTTGAGTAGTAAACTTGATTTTTGGACTAAATCATATGGACTTAAGGATTTTGCTTGTAGGCCCAAATCAATTAAAAGGCCCAACATGCATAGCATTTCTAGAAGCATTATTTAGAAAAATCTATATAAATATCTACTAGAAAAATCTATATAAATATCTAAATAAGATATGTGGTTTTATAAAGAATAACTAGAGAATTCTAGGAAAATATCTTGATATGTGGTCTAGGTGTCTTTAGAAAATGTGTGGACTAGAATCTTCTTATAAACACTATATAAAGGGGTAGTGCCCTCCATTTTGAAACAAGCCAAAAACTGTGTAGAGTCTTGAATTTGAGAAATACAAGTTTCCTCTTTTTTCACTTCCTTCTTCCTATTAGTGTTGTCCTCTTAAAAGTCTTAGTTAATCCAAGTTAGTAAACCCATCTTTCCTCCAACATAAAATACTGCAACTAACAAGTCTGATGATGAAGAATGGTGCACTGAAGGAATCTGTTAAGACAGAAGGAATTATCTATTAGATATATTATAAAAAGAATTTCTAGTTCTTTATTGGTTGTTTCTTAAATTAAATTAAATTAGCTGAAACCCTATATAAAGGGGTTTATACATTATAATAGTTAGACTTGATTCTCGAATAAACTAATATTTTCTTCCCTCTAATAGTTCAGTCTTCTCATTCATCTCCCCTTTCCATCTCCCTATTCTCCCCTTTCTTTTCCCTTCTCCTACAAGTCTCGTTCTAATTTATTTGCATCCTACGTCAGATAGCCATTAGAGATTTATGGATATTTAGATGATTAGATTGCTAGAAAAAAATTCAGGGGTCTAGCTAGAAGAGTAAAGAAAAGGAGAAATTCAATCTATATTAGCACTAAAGATACAAGTAAGAAAATTTAAGGAGTTAGTTGATTTTCAAAAAGTTCAGAAATAAAGAATCATACAGACACGCACAAGCAAAGAAGAGGGTAGATACTAGAGCCCTAGTGGAAGAATCAAATGCATAGCGTTCAAACAAAAAATGGATGATTGGCTCTGCCAGGATCCACATGATCGACAAAATGGGCAAGAGAACTACCTGCATCATAAGCAAACATGCAAGAAAGGTGTTAAAGAAATCTTTCTTCATTAGTTAATAGTAATCAACATTAAATTCTTCTCAATGCTTAGTTTAATATTCTTGTGAATACAAAACTTCAATAGAATGTGCAGAGACACCATTCCAAATTTTTATGGAGAAAATTTTCAGGTGGCAAAAATCAGCCTCATTGAAAATAAATCCATGAACGCAACTCAGAAGTAAAAATGCCCTCCAATCAGTCTGGCAGTTAAGCACATTTGAAGATTTTATCAAGTAAAAGAAACTTCACAAAACTCAAAGCTATATTGGTGGAAAATTTTCGGGTGGCAAAAATCAGCCTCATTGAAAATAAATCCATGAACGCAACTCAGAAGTAAAAATGCCCTCCAATCAGTCTGGCAGTTACGCACATTTGAAGATTTTATCAAGTAAAAGAAACTTCACAAAACTCAAAGATATATTGGTAGAAATTTCAGATGATGAATATAAAACATGGAATAACTGGTAAGCTGGATTTCTCAAGGGAATTTTGTTATTTTTGGATAAGTATACTGTACACGTTTGACAGATATAGAAATGGACTTGAGAATGATGATTTTCTACGCGAATTCTTCAATCAGAATTTCCATCAATGTAAACCCATATTGCATAAATGTAACTAACCATGCAAAGTAGCACAGATCTCATTAAATTTTCCATTAAGCTCTCCCAGGATGCGGTCTGCCAAAATTTTTTAAGAAGCGAATCATTATCCTAAAGAAGCAAAAGAAATTGCTATAGAAAACATCGCCGAATCAATTAATGAAAGGGAAGGTGAATATTTTAGAAGTACCTTCGCCAGTTTGGAGATGGAAGGTAAAAGAGGCAGCACAACTACGCTCGAAAGTGCGCCCACTGGAGCCATGACCATAAGATATGCATCTATAAATCACATAAAAGATGAATTAGAAAATATGTAAGTGATGAGCTTAAGAGAGAGAATAATGTTCTGAATGTAGCAGGCGATTAAGCAAGAAACAAAGCATGCAATCCATTATGAGGTATCAATCCCATGAATTGATCTGTGTCTCTGTTCCTCACAGGCAAACAGATTGGGATGATGAAAGATTTTTGAGGGCTCAAGTGATTGATGCCTTTGTTTATAAGATGAACTGTCAAGACATCCACGGAAGCACTTAATATAACTGCAGTAAGTGATGTACTGGCTGTTGGTGGTTGCTAAAGCTGATTTTGACCAGAGTAAGTCCTTTGTAGGAAATTAACTGCAGTTTCAATATGACAAAAGTGCTAAATTCATTTAAACACCCCACCCCCGCCTCTCCAATAATAATAATAAAGAAAAGAAAACAGTCTCTCTGACTTATAGTATGTCTTGTATTAAGTTCAAACTAGCACCTGCACCAATCACTTACAGGAGAGACTAGCCGCAGCACCAGGGATGAAAGATGCAAAACAAAGGTCTGTAAAAGATGCACTTTGTGCCAAGCCAGACCTAATGATCGCTGGTATCAACAGTGTGAAGAACTGCACCCAAAAATCAAAATTAAGATGTGGGAAAAGCAGCAATCAGCTTCTGATTAAAGGATCTTAAGCATTTAAGCATTCATCTCATTAACATCTCCACTTGTCAAGGCAGTAATAAAGGAATCTGGAATACCACTGCGCCATGGTCTGATATTCAAGCATGCCATGTTCATAATATAATAAATCAGAAGAATTCAAGAGCTTTTAAGGGTACAACATAGTAGCTTCATGCATCATGTCTTCAGTATCAATACTTTTTTTCCTCTGGAAGAGAGGGGTAAGAGGAGGAGGGGGGGGGGGGGGGGGGGGGGGGTGTTGGTTATGTGGAGGAGGTAGTCGTAGACCTGGATGATCCACTGCAGAAATAACCCAAGTGAAACTCCTAATGATAGCAGACTTCCACCTAAACAAAATATTAAAAAAATAAATGAACACCATTAGAATGTAATATTGAAGGAACTCGAGAATAGAGTTTATACTTACTGACCAGAATAGGAAGCCCTTGATTGTCTGGTAAAAGTATAGATGAGACACTACAGTGTTTTTTTATTAAATGCATGTCAGTATTCTCAAGCACATCCATACAAGTGGGGTGTGCCTGTGCATATGGGTGGGTGGAGGAAAAGAGAGAGTTTAAGTGTTAACTAAATTAGGTAACAAAATTTTCTGAGATTCAACTTACACCGAAAATCAGGAGAGAACTGGACAAAGCAGGGCTGATAGAAGGAAGAATATTATTTCCTTCTGCACTGATAGACGAGGAAGTGCAAAGAAGAGGTTAAATACCAACATAACAACTATGTACTTCATAAAATCATGGAAAACCCACAGTGGATATTACTTGCCTCATGTATCCAAACCCAAGCCCAACAGGACCCGCAAGAACTATACATGGAGTCATTATTTTCAACTGGTCAGGGGAAAAATGGAAAAGAAATTATTAAGAAAAAGAGAGCAGGATGAGAATGTTAAATAAATGCTTCTGGGCACTGATGACTAATTTGTGAGTTGTTAAGATTGTCACAGGTGACCAGAAATTATATGCAGTTGATCGGTCAAAAACGATTTTGTCTATTGGCAGGGTCTCACCAGGCAACACTACGCTAGGTTCAGTGGAAATGAAATTGAAAAAAGACCTCAAGTAGGAATACAAGAATATTGAAAGCTCTTTAACATAAATCTATGTAGCCACAATTCTTTAGTAGGTGTGGATGTAAAGTCTTGTGTTTTTCTTAATTTTCAATTTATTGCTTATGTGAAAGACATAAAGTGATAACAACTTAAATTTAGATGTGTAGAAAATACAAAACTGCGATTATTATTACATGGGTGGCTTTGTGATGAGGTTTGCACGGAAGAACACGCACTTGCATGTATGGAACGCTTGAATGGTCGACATTCGAAGAAATTGACGTAACTTTTGCATACAATGTCCGTTTTGGAGCCATAACCCCATTCTGGAAAGCTCGCGACGATTCCGGATGAACTTACCGCTTTGCTGTGATGTATGATGGATTTTGACCGTTTGAATTCGTTTACTGAATCAAAATGGCATTTAAAGTTTCTTAGTTTATTATTTTTAATATTTGTTATTATCGCTTTGTAGCCCAGTCCATTAAGGGACTGCTGACCTAATAGGTTATTTGTTCTTTTCATAATTAAGGCTGTCTCCTAGGGTTTTTTGGTTGTTCATGAAATAAGAAAACGTTTGTTTCTTGAGTTCAATCCATTTGAGTTGTTAGTATCGTGTGTTTGTAAATTCAATCTACATCACTTTGGAATTAAAAAAAAATGAAGAATTTACTTCAGGAAAGCGATGATTAATGTATGACATCCCACAATGAAATAAAGACATTTGAGATATGGGCATAATTTTTTTTTTCACAATATCAGTAGACAATACTATTGTGTTTGTAGTACTTGGATTAGCATAATTACCTGATCGATAGCTATTTCTCTTATAATTCGGCCTTCTGCCAAGACCCACAAACTGTGAATGAATGATAGCATTTGAAAAGCAGTTAGCCAGATAGACACATTAAATATAATGACAAATATATGCTTGTCCCAAGTTTGTGAATCTATCCAATTCTATTCAAGGACAAAGTAAAATAACATTAAAATGCATGCATTTCACTTTTCAACTCCAATACCATTTAAACATGCTAATTCCAAGTTCGAAAAATCCATGAGATTCACAAAAGATGACAAATTTCTAAAAACTCATAGTTGTCGCCTCATTGGCTGTGTCTATGCCACAGATTTTGGAACATACAAAATGTGTGTGAAACATTTATCAACCTTTTCTAGACAGAAACAATTTAATAACCTCCTTACCCAGGTGCATACATATGAATTATGAACTCAGAAAATATGTACACGAGAGTACCCACAACAGCTCCTACCTGCAAAGCATCACTAGTTAACATCAACTTCATTATGACTTTCTAGGGATATGCATGTGTCTAGCGAAAAACTAAAACGCATACCAGAAACATAATGGTGGCCGTATGTTGAAATAGTTTTTCTCGGCAGTGCTTTGGGAGTTTACTGATCCATCATCAAATCATAGATATCAAATCACTAATAACATGTCAATAATAACTACCACTAAAGTAGAAAAGTATTACACTGCTCCTATACAACTTGAAAGAAAATTACAACATTAGGACATTAATTATGGAGCCCTACCATTGCGTCTACACAACAACCGAGAGCTAACTTTTCAAAATTTGTCTTCTTATTCTATCGCCATAAGAAAGTAAAACATGTAAACATGAGCAGAAAACTCAATTCCTCAAATACCGGGCATAAAGGAAATCTACTTATAGTGACCCTGTTATGCAAGTGTTTATATACCGTGACTGAGCTTTATGTAGCATTATACAAGAACCATCACCACATCTGAAAACAAGTTTATAAGCTAGGTAATGTGGCAAGATATAAGGAAGGACGCGTTACCTTAAAGTGGTTGCCATAATAATATGGATGGGACCATTAACACCTGTACAATAGGAAACCATATATATTTCCTAAAAATCAAATATTATATGCATAGATAGAATATGATGTTGAACTTCATGCATCAGATCGTTGAGGCTTAAAATTTTCCAAAATGTTAGATTTAAAATCAAATTTGTCCTCGTGACTTCAAAAGATATGAAACTAGACAACAATTTATTCTTCATAGCAATCCTGAATCCAAAATAAATGGGACGAAACCAACATAAAAGTGTCAGAAATGCACGAGCAAGCAGATACTACTGACAATTAAGCAATTTCGGCACATTATCAGTTAACAATATCTTATTATTATATACAAGATGTTTGAGATAACAAACTGCCAAGCAGCGACGAAGAGAAACCAAGCAAAACCCAAGCATACCTGCAAGTTTATATCCAACATAAGTAAAATTTAAAAGAGGGGGGGGGGGGGTTCTAAATTATATATAAACGTTCTATCACAATTATATAGACAGTCAAGCTAAAAATCACTAATTTATTTACTGTACTTGAACGCGGTGGCAACAGGACCAATACCAAAAACTGAAGCCATTATAACCTCCCTAATTAATCCCTACATTAGTCAACATAAATTCTACTGAGACAATAGAAACAGTAGCACTACATAGAACACTAAAAAGCAAATCAAAATAACCGAAGTGTATGAAATACTTGAGCATTACCAGAATTTTGCTCGTAAGAGTAGCCACACTGATCCATGTCACAGTTTTAACAGACAGATCACCTGAATAGTAATTGAAAGCTGTTTCGCGCGGGTTAGTCGCTAACAATTAAAAAGGGACCAGACGATTGTGTAAGGGACAAATCTCTTGAGACAAAATCCTAAAAAAGGGCGTTTTTATTGGCAATGACTTTACAATTGGAAAATAAAAACAGAATGCCTCCAAGGGGCGCAAGCACACGAGTTACTGTAAAAGAAGTGTTTAAATCTAAACTAAGAAATTGAAAGTTACATATTTTCTGTTTGAGAGTGTTTGATTTGGGATCTTTTACTCTATGTCTTTTCTTCCTTTTATACTCCCTGGATGATTTTTTCGTGATCAACCGCTTAAGAAACTGCTTGATCGCTCTATAACTGCCCACTTTCCTTGTAGTGGCCAACTTATCATGGAACTACCTTCTCTAACCGCTGCCATTACTTTTGTCGTTCAACCGTTTTCAATTGAATTCTTTGAATCGTGGGACGTGGTAGGACTACCCAATAACTGCTTTATTAACTGCACTATAACATCTTATGTTTGCTAAAATATTGGACGACTCGAATGTTTGGACGAGAGCAAGGTCACAGCTCTGGGCGACTGCATGGCAATTCATTCGCTCAAATCTTGGGCGACTTGCAACCTTGGGCGATGGAATTACCGCGTTCATGGGCTTCCCTATTTGGGCCTTTATCCTGTATTGTCCGATTGATTCGTTCTTTGGGCTATTTGATTTTTTGGGGGTCTTCCAGTTGAGCTTCATTCCTTGGGCTATTCGACTTGGGCTGAACTTTTTGTGTGTTGACAAAAGCTGATATCAATACAAGAATATACATGTTTAGTTATTAAAAGGCAGGGTTACGAAAATACAAACCAGGTGGCATTTTAATTTCTTCGATCGATAAATCAATGTCGCCGTTATCATAGTTTGTCAGTGAATTTAATCGAACGTAAGTATAATAGGTTTTATGGATTCGTCGGCGAGGAATTGGATTCGGCTGAGCGAGTCGCGGCGAAGATCGGCGAATCCAACTGTGCGAACAATGCCGAGGAGAATTGGAAGGAGTTTGAGTACGGAGTGATTTCTTCTAATATGTTCCGCTAATTTTTCATACAACCATGCTTGGGGTACATTCTGTATCCAATATGGTGTCCAAAGACATTGGCCGAGGTGCCTGCTACGCCGGGGCCCATCGGCACCTCGGTATTGATCGAGGTGTCGGGTGTCCATTTTGGACATCATGTTGGACACCGCAATGTACCAAGAGCATTATACTTTTTCATATTTGCTGACCCCAATTTTTAATTTGAATAATTTAATTTACTTTAATTTATTTAATTGTTTAGATGTTTATTATTTTTTTCATATTTTTTTAATTAATTGGTCACTAGTTAATTGTTTGTGAATTTTGTTGTTATCGAGAGAGACAATAGGATCATTAGCACAAAATAATAAATATTGTGAGGTTAAATAGAAGATAGAAATATACCTCCATGCTTCATATGATTTTTCTAAAATGTTCTAATTCGTTTAATGCATTTATCATGTTCGCATCTTTCATCGAGGGATAGGAAGGTCGCATGAGGGGAATAAATTTGATAACTATCGAGAAAGATTTTCAATTAAAATAGAAACATTAATCAACAAGCATGATTTTAAATTGTCAATTTAAATTATCGAACTAAAAATGGATTAGTAAGGGGATTCTACATCTTAACAATACTTCTCGCGAATTTAATAAATTTTTACTTTGCTTTTAATTTAGTTGCCAGATTTAATATTGTTTAGTTACAACTTGATTTTGCTATTCGATTAAGGGTATTATTAATTTTAACTGGATCAAACACATAGTCCTTGTGAGTTCGACACTCTACACACTACTATATTACTTGTTTACGATCTCATTCACTTGCGAGTAATCAAATGATCAAGTTTTTGGCGCCGTTACTGGGACTATAGTTTTTGATAAGTTTTAACTAATTTACCTTTAATCTGAATTTTATTTTAAATTTAAATTTTATTTTTTAATTTAGTTTATTCTTTTAGAAAAATACTACACTATTTTCTATTTTTCCTTTTCAGGACTTTGTATGCAATGTTTGAGAATCGGAGATCTTGCTCAATTTGATCCAGAAATCGAGCGAACGTTCAGGTTGAGGAGAAGAGAACAATTAGAAACACACCAAAAACAGCAAGTAGAACTCATGGCAGAACAAAATCAAAATCAAATAGCCATTGGGGCTAATCTGGATGTAGCGCAACCGAATGAAGTTGCAACCAATTAAAATGCTAGGTTGATGGGAGAGTATGTGGTTTCACCGATTGTAGAGAGCCAATCCAGTATAGTGTATTCGACATTTGGTCAACCAAATTTTTACTTGAGGATAGATGTGATCAACGTGTTCCAAAATCCACTGCAATTTTTTGGGAAACCTACTGAAAATCTCAATGCTCATATCTAAAGATTCTTGGACATTTGTGCAACAATCGATTATCTAGGCGTTTCAAGCGAAGCAATTTCGCTGAGACTTTTTCCTTACACTTTGAGAGATTTAGCTAGGGAATGGTTGGATACTTTTCCTTCACACAACATCACTAATTGGAATAGTCTGAGTTAGAAGTTCCTAAACAAATATTTCCCACCTAAAATGATTGCCAGGTTAAGGGACGAAATCACCACATTCTCTCAACTTGACTCGAGGTGCTATTATGAAGCTTCGGAAAGGTACAAAGGGCTGCTTCGTCAGTGTCCACAGCATGTATTTCAAAAATGGCTTCAGGTATAATATTTCTATATTGGGCTAAATCCGACAAGCAAGGCGAATGATGACTCCACATGCGATGGTTCCATCACAAAGAGAACAGCGGATCAAGTATATCAAATCATGGAGGATTTAGCATTCACTAGTGCATTGTCGCCTACGGAAAGAACGAGTGTAAAGAAACTAGTTTGGATACATGAGGTGGATCCCTTAACAGCAATCTTAGCACAACTGACAGCTTTAGCTAAAAAGGTGGATCAGATGAATGTCATTCAAACAGTTGGACAAAAATGTAAGCACCATGGAGGAAATCATGAAAGTGTTGATTGCACCGTGGGTAGTCCTTTTGTTCAATCACTAGAGGATGTAAATTATGTTCAAAACTATCAAAGACAGCAACACAATCAGAATCCTAACACCTATTACCCAGGCTGGAGAAATCACCCAAGTTTTCAATGGAGCAACAATCAGGGAGCTCAGATTGCGCAACAGCAAACTGCACCGCCAAGTTTTCAGCGGGCTGAAAATAAGTCTTCATTGGAATATCTTGTTACTAAATTGGCAGAGATCTCTACCCAACACATGTAAAGAAAAGATAAGACTTTACAAGTTTAGGGAATTGCTATCAAGAATTTAGAAAATTAGATGGGACAAATAGCAAAAGTACTTTCAGAAAGACAGCAAGGAACACTACCAAGCAACACGGAAACAAATCCTAAACAGCAGGTAATAGTAGTAAAAGTTATGGAGAGTGAGGAGATTGAGGCAATCACTACACGCAGCGGGGTTACACTTCCAGAAATTACAGTTGAGAGACGGGTAACAGAAACTAAAAATGCACCTTTTACAGATGAGGAGCAGATGGATAAATCTGAACAATTAGACAAAGTAGTTCCATCTCAAGAGCTAGAAAATTTACAGGTCAAGGCAACCGCTCCTATCAAACCTTATGTACCTTCGGTCCCATTTCCACAGAGATTACAAAAGAGGAAGTTGGAAGAACAATTTGCAAAGTTCTTGGATATCTTCAAGAAGTTTCATGTCAATATCTCATTGATTGAAGTTTTATATCAAATACAAAACTATGCAAAATTTCTAAAGGAGATCCTATCAAAAAAGAGAAAGCTACAGATTTTGAGACCATCAAGTTAAATGAAGAGTGTAGTGCCTTATTGCAGAACAAATTACCTCCTAAGCTACAAGATTCGGGGAGTCTCAAAATACCGTGCTCAATAAGAAAAGATTTGAATTTTAATTGCTTATGTGATTCAGGAGTAAGTATAAACTTAATGTCTTTCTCTGCATATAGGAAATTAGGATTGAAAGAGCTAAATGACATATCCATCTCCCTTCAATTGGCAGACAGATCAATTAAATACCGGTGAGGAGTGGTTGAGAACGTGTTCATTAAAGTGGGCAAATTCATATTCCCCATTGATTTTGTTGTCCTAGATATAGAGGAGTCATGGGATGCAGCATTACTTATCTTGGGCAGATCTTTTCCACCAACAAGTCGAGCTATTATGGACTTTGAAAGTGGCGAACTAACATTGAGAGTGGAAGATAAGCAAGAGAAGTACAAAATCTACAACATTATCGATGATCCAAACAAAACTCAATATATATATATATATATGCATAACAGAATTTTGTATAGATCATAGGACTGATGAAAAGACTCAGAAATTGGGAGGGAAAATAATTACTTTTTTCATTAGTAATTAAATACATCAGGTTTTGCACTCTACAAGTGATCTCTCCCAATTTTTCTCTCTGTCTTTCTTCCTCACGGGATCACATATAAATAGGCAGGCAGCTCCAAGGAGTTACAACAGATTCTGGCCATGATTTAATAGTGGGTTATCTCTTAAAACAAATGGGTTTTGTTGCCATGCACTCCACTTCTTCCACCATGCAGTTAATGTGGCTGGATAATGTTCTCCACTTCCTTGACATGCAAGCAACGTGGCTAGGTGGTAATATTCTCCACTTCTTTTGCATGCAAGCATGTGTTGGGTGGTAACGACTCATGCGATCGTCCTGGATCAATCGAGAATCCATTACATGAAGAGATCAACAAAAAGGCTAACGAAGAGTGCAGATATATAGCTACAAAGGTGCAACAAGGCTCGAGTGAGACAGAGCCTAAACATCTAGTGAGCGTTGGACGAGAGAAGAATGGAGAGTTCAAGGTTTGGAGGGCAAAACAGGGATACAAGACCGAAAATTATAAGGAGTGCAAAAGCTCGAAACACCTATTTAAGCCACCGTAATCAATTCATCCATACAGTCTAGCTAAAGACTATAAATTAAGCGCTTATTGGGAGGCAGCCCAATCTTCTAACTCTTTTATTTATTCTGTTTTCTGCTTTCTGCAACGCCTAGCATATAGATTTGTTTTGATTACTAGGTTGCATTAGATTTAGGCACATTTTAATTTGTAGGGTATCACCATCCTTAATACTCCACTTAGGCCATTGAATTTATTGTTGGTATTTTGACTGTTTGGGCTAAATAACACATGTTCTAGATTATTTGATTTTTAATGTTTGATTTAATGCTATGTCAGAAACATGATGTCGTGGAACACTCAAACCAACATAAACCAAAGGAAAAATATGGTGACAGAGATTGTCGAGCCGTCATTCATAGTGCCTCACATATTCAACAGAAAACTTCAATGAGTATTTTCTTCCTTTTCTTCCTCATTCCCTTATACTCTTACTTTTTATTTATGACATTGAGGACAATATCGTGTTCAAGTTTGGGGGTTTTCGTATGCTTGTGTTTTTTAGTGCGTTTGTTTTTAGTACTACTTAAAAAACAAAAACAAAGAACAACAAATTTTTTTTTATTATTAGGTTATGTACTTGTGTGTGTTAGACAATTTAACTAACAATAATGATTTAATTTGAGGTTTGACATTAATTTATAAACTGTGGATAGGTTGCATGCTAGATTGATTGAAACTTAAATTTGCAAAACTTGATATTATACGTGCACAAGATTGAGTTTGATATGGTGATGAAATGAGTTTTTTTGTGCTCTTGATAGGTTGATTTAGTTGGACATATATGCTTTACCCAAACCATATTAAAATAATTATCTTTATACCAAATTTAGCACATTTTGGGATGATTTTACTATTGTAGGAAGATGCAGATGTGAATGTGGATTCATTGTGTGAAAAAAATAAATTTTGTGTGGATTGTCTAAGATGAACATGATAAAATTGGGTGAAAGTCTTGAGTTGGAGGTCAGTTTTCTTGAATATGTGTATAATAAGGGGTATTGTACTAATCAAGACATATATTTTAAAATTTAAAATTTCTCTTTGAAGCC